ACTGCTGACAGAGGAATGGGTCTAAATCCACACAGTGAAGAGGAACTTTGTTTTAGTGATAGAAGATAGAAAGCATCATTCATCATTTCTCTGGGTTTTGACCCGAGGGAATGATTCATCTATTAAACATCACACCAGTAAATTTTCTTAGGAACTCAGACATGGAAAAAAATATAACCTACTGTTTTTCATTCAGTTTCCAGCACTGAGACAGGCAAATCAGCTGAAATAAGAGAAATGTGCTAATTGAATGCATTTTTCTCTTTCATAAATGAGCCTATTGAACCAGGAAGAGAAATCAAGTATGTTTTTGTTGTTACTCTTATTATACCAGAAATTACTCACATTTTGGAAGTCACACAAAAGGGCCTTCTCCCATCTCTATTGCTTTCAACTTGGCACATAAAAAGGCCGTGTATGAAAGGAGCACTGGACTCCAAGTTGTTTGCAGATGACTCTGTTGTAGTCTGCCCAGCTTTGAAAAAAAAAGACACCCAAAATTTCTGGGAAGCCTAAAGGGATCCTCAGTCTAAGACCCATACACGATACAAACAGAGTTTTGACTTCCCTAACTGATCAGAAGCTGCAGTCCTTAACCACCCCAAGGAAAAGGGAAGAATAGATGGCTTGTCTAGAAGAGGGGTTGAAATTGTGTGCAGAAGACTAAGATGCAATGAAGAGCTTGAAGAAAAAAAAATCCTATGCATTTAGACCAAATGTTAGAGATTTCTTTTCAATCACGGTATTTTATTTTACATTATCCTTCAAATAAATTACAGAATGTCCAGTATCCCATCATAAAGACCCAGAGTTGTGTTTTAGGCTTAAAGAAACCAATTTGCCTTGAGCCTTCTTTGTCTACAGGAATGTAGCTATTTTCATAAGTGAGATTGTGGTGTTTTTTCACCTGCTCATCAGCTGAGTAAAAAGAAATATCTTTGTTTGCTACAGGTTTTTCTCTAAATACCAGAACCTATAAACCATGAGAAGAGAAAAAGGACGTCCTAGTATAGTTTTCTGAAAATTTTTGCATATCTACTTCAGTATAGTTTAATTTTCAGTGTATTAAATATAGGCTGTCTTCTTCCTAGAAAGGATTTATTAACAGAAGCAAGGTGACAGTTCTCTACTAAATGCTTCAGTATTTATGTATATAACTTCAACATTTCCTTCTGAAAAACTTTATTGTGAAGATTTCTGTCCACATCAAGACAATCAGAAAGCATTCTTCAGAGTCTAGCTCAGGCTGCAGAGGGAAACTAAGACCTTGCTTGCACAATCAGCAGAAAGTGTTCAGCTCCCTCCAGGATCATCTGGAGTGGAAACTTTCTGACTTGGATGCAAAAGAAGGGAGCTGAATCCTGGGTCACAGGTAGTAACATCCCAGCCCAAACAGGGGAGAGCCCAGGCTCTCCAGTAGACTCTGGGCCACTAGGAGGAACTTCTGGTCATTGTGAAGTTTTAGCTCCACTAGTCTCTGTTGTGTGTGTCTGTATCATTCTACTGTGGAACTGGTAAGCATGGATTTGGAGGTTAGCTTGGAAAACTGAAGCCAGAAGCTGCCAGGAAACACCAGAGACTGTTAGTAGGACACATGTTTTTCCTGAAATGTAAGCAAGAAAGTCTGGGGTCCCTCTACCTCATTCTCTACAGCTTCCTTTATTCCCTTAGCACATTTCTTCTTTCTTTGCTATTTTTCTGATCCTTGGGATCCAGACCTGATGTTGTACTAACAACCAGTTCAACATCTCTGCCTCAAAAAACAGAAAGCTTGTCTTTTGCTGTTACTTGACCCAGCCAAGAAATTTGCCCCTCCTGATCTGTTGGAGGTAATTTCCTCCCCCTGATGTTATTCCATCACACCTTTGAAGATGCTGTCCTCTCACTTGGATCACCTCTTCTCTGCTGGGCACCCCTTGCTCTTCTCCATCCTGGGTTATCACAGGGCTGAGATGGGAAGTGGGAATTAAGGAGGAAGGACCAGTGCAAAAGCAAACATGCTTTTTCCTTCCTTCCCAGAGGGCAGGAGAAGGGCATCTCAGTGGAGCCAAATGGGGAAATAATTTCCCCAGGAAATCTTTCAGGTTGGCAATTTGTTAGAAAACCAGTTTGTAGGACTTAGCTGCTTCCAGGAGAAGCACTTCTCACAAGATTAGCTTTGCAATGATAATGTTATCAGGAACCTATACGACAACGTGGCCTCTCACTTCTGCAGGGTGTTAACAGACTAACTGGCTTGAGAAAATTGGTTAGTTTGACAACCCTTGCTTGGTGCCAGCAGGTGTACGATATAAGACTGGCTATGGGTCATGCATCCAGGGAAGGAGAAGGCTGGACACAGCGTGGAGCTGATGCTTCGGGAGGAAGACTGCACTGGGTATTGCACACCACGTTCCCCAGTCGGTTTTTGATCAAAAGTATAAAGTTCTCATAACTTACCAACAGGAAACAATGGGTGTCAAACCTTTTTGGTGATAATGTACTCTCACGGTGTCTGCATGGCATTTGCTGGACCGATGTCTGCCTGCCCCTTTCAGCTCAACCGCCCACATGTCTAGGCTTGCAGCCAGAGTGAGACAGTATTTCCTTTCCTCCTCACCCTTTTGTCTGCAGGCAGTGATGAGGAACAGAGTGCCCTTTGGTCTCTGGCAGAACTAAGAACATGAAACACAAACCAACAGAAAGAGGCAGAAGATACAGTGCTATAAAACTGCTCATTAAGTCTTTTTCTCTGCAGTAGTAATTCTCCTCTTCGGCACCAGTGGAAATAGCAAAACTGAAGCCTGAAAAAGACAGTGGGCCCCAGAAAGTCATCTTTTTAATTTAGTTCTTGGATGTTGAATCTCTGCTGGTGCATGCACCTGGGTCTGCCTTCCAATCTCCGAGCAGGTTTGGACACCGATGAAAGAGAAGCAGATCAGCTCTGCTCTGTCTAAAGTACCTTGGGAGCAAAGTCCATATTGCAGTGACATTTGTAGTGGCTGCTTAGCTCTGGCTAGGGCTGGGTGTTTGCTTGGAGCAGTGAACTCATATCCTCATGCAACTGCCCATGTGCATTGAGCACAACCACCCACACTTGCTCTTTGGCCTTCCCAAGCCAGGAAAGTCCCCATGTGACCTCTGCAACATTAGCTGCATCCTCTCTTGTCTTTACCTTCCCTTTCTTGTCTCAGTTTGCTTCTGCAAGAATCTCTGATGCTTGTTTTTGTTGATTTGTTTGTTTGTTTGTCAATGAAGAAGAACCTGAATTTGGTTGGCAACTCTGACCCTGCTAAAGGAGACATAAGTGAATTGCCATGGATTTCTCTACTACCTGCCAGAGTTTGCTGTGAAGCATCACTCAGCAGACCTCTGGGGGCTTGACCTGAGTCACAGAGAGGTGGGTCCCAAATGCTCCCACCTGGCTCCTCCCTTGGAGTCAGGCAGTCCCTTCCCAAGAGCAGAAGTCTGGGAAAAAAGAGACTGAGATAAAGGCAGCATCACAGGAGAGAGAGGAGCCAGGGAAGGGGAAAGAGGCTTAAAATCCCTAAGGGACCCTGTGGAAAGGCTCTGACACAGTGGTGCATATTGGTTTCACTTCCCTGCCCTTTGCCTCCAGTGCAACCGGGTGCTGTAAGTCCTGGTGAGAGGCTGGATAGAGCCCCTTTCCCTAACAAATGTGCCAACAGGGACATTCTGTAGTCCACCTTGCCTTTTTATGAACTAGTTTACAGTGGGCTGGGTGGGAATGTAAACACATGAAAACCTGCCAGAAATCTAAAACCTTATGATGCCTCTCCTGACAGAGGGAAGACTGAAATTCATAAATAGCAGAGATGAACAGAGGCAGAAGGTGTGTGGTGTTTGTTTCTCATATTTTCCTGTAAGATAGCCTTCTCCCTTTATTACAGAAAAACTCAGAGAAATTTTATAGAATATGGTGGGCATCCTTCTGTAACTACAACCAGAAGCTTCATGTAATGCTTGATCTCACCACTGGACTACCATGTGGTCAGGAGCTGTGCTGTGTGGTTTCACAGTGAAACCCTTAGGCATAAGACCTTGCCCCTGAGCCCAGGAGCACTGTTGCACCCCTGGCCCTCCCTTTCTGGAAGTACATGAGATGCAAACCCATTTTGGGCAGGGAGACTTCAGCCAAGCCTCCCCTCTGCAGAGACTCCTTCCACAAACCAGTTTGTGGTTTTGGTTTGCTCATGGGTTGAGGCAAAACAGTGGCATCTGAAGCTGTCTCCACAGTGCCCTCTTGGTGGAGAATCATCTCCTGTTCTTGCTTGTGAGTGCTCTGTGCCATGTCTGGGGGAGGAAAATGACCTACCTGAGGAGCCTGGGAACGGTGCCGGGTGTGGTGCTTACCAAGTCGCAGAGGTGGTGATCCACAGCCAGTGCCTCCCTGAACACCCTTCTTTCTCTGCCAAAAATAAAGAGAGCAGGGGTTGTTGAGGCCTGTCGTCCCTTGCTTCTTCCTTCTCCACCAGCCACCACCTGTGCTTACCAGAAAGATCCTCCATTAGTATCTTGCAAGGTGGAAGTCCTTTTGATGGCATTCATAGTGGAGCTCAGCAGCTTGGGGCTAACAAGGTGCAATACCAAGTTTGCTGCTGGGGGGTGGGGGGGAGGTGTGTGCTCTTTATTTCCAGCTCTAGCAGCCAGTGCAGTTGGCGTGAGACAAAGGCACGCTGCCGACCAGCAGTCAGTCAGGTGTGACTAACGTTTGACCTCGGGAAGAAGCTCGCAGGAAGAAAGCAGGGCAGAGCTGCCGCCCGGCTGGCTGCTCCCTGCCACCACAGCTCTGCTGATTGGCCTCCCAGCAGCGCTTTGGAAAAAGGCGGAAAATGTTCAGCCTCTCCCTGGGCATGGCAGCCATCCTCCGTGGGATGTGGGGAAAGGAGGGGGCGAGCTCTCCCGCGAAACTGCTCTGTCCCACGGTTCTTTTCTCCCTGCTTTGCTGGGCTGGAACCTGCGGGCTGCTGCTCTGTGGGGGCTGCCAGCTGGAGGAGGCAATGACGGGTGAGTGGGGTGCCCGTTCCTGCACAAGGCTAACTGCGGAGCAGCACCAGCCTTTCTTGGCAAGCAGAGAGGCCCAGATGTCATCCTGACTGAAAAATGCTAATGGGATCAGTAGCTAGTGATGTGGGGGTTAGTCAGCAGCAAAATTGGGAAATGTGTGTCAGAGCGGACACCGTGCAAGTTTGTCTTTGCACTCAAGCTGTATGTTCAGCTCATATATTCCCTTTCTTTTCTAAGTGTTGCTAAGCTACTCAGCACGAGGGGTGGAGCAAGTCTGCATTTCCAACGCACGCGTCTGGGCAGCACACGTTGCTTTTGGGAGAGGCTGGGGCAGGGGGACATCCTTTTACAGGCATCTACAGCCTCCCAGCCATGGGTGACCCGAGCTCATCTGCCTCCCCCTGCATCCGTGCAGGTGCCAGCAAGAGCAGAGTGGGGGTGGATACTCTCAGGAGCCAGAGCTGCTTTTGCTGGGTAGCTGTTGTGTGTCAGGTCTACAGAAGACACCTCTGAGCCCCTGGGGACAAAGGCAAGTTAAGAGTAACGCACTGGGAAGAAACAGGCAGATGAGCCTGGGACTAGAGTTTGCTGTGCTCGCTAAGGAGGCTGTCCTCTGTTCTCATGCTGCCTTCCTCCTCACCATGGGAAATGTACAGCATAGGCCAATGACACGATGGCCACCCATGAGACCAAAGTGAGGTCTCCCAGTGTGCCACGTGCTCATGGTGGAGTTCCTTGCTCTGATGTTCTGCAAGATAGGAACACTGCGACTAGATGCTTCAAGGCGCTATAGTCTTCCCAGGGTGAGTTGCTTTTCCTATCGCTTCGATTTCGGGGTTTGCTTCGATCCTAGGTTCGAAGGAAGCTGTGAGATCTGCTAGCGTTATTGCAGCAGCCCTTGGTGGAGAGGCAAATTTCTATTGCAACTTCTCACTCTCACTGGATGTTTTACAAGTCACCTGGCAGAAGAGAAATGGGTCTTCCTTCCAGACATAGCCACCTACAGTGCAAACCACGGGCTGAGACTGATAGGGTCATTTCAGAAGAAGGTATATTTCACTACAGCAAGCCTGAAGGCTTCAGCTATCACACTCAAAAACCTCACATTTGAGGATGAGTCCTGTTACAGATGCATTTTCAATGTGTTCCCCCATGGCTCTTTCAGCAAAGACATATGTCTCAACATCCAAAGTAAGTTTTCCATTAACACTTTCTCACTTTCTGGTACTTCGCAGAGGTCTGATATAGTCAGAAGGTGCATAGGGTATTATCCTCTCCACCACATGAGGACTTTCCATGCAGCAGCTTCTCCTTGGTGGATAGTCTCCAGAATTGCCATACCTTTCCTTTGAGGAGGTGAAGGTAAATAAACCAGGAGATGCTTTCAGATAAGAATCCCCATACAGAGCAGTGACCCATCCAGCTTTGGCTGTAAATTTGCTACAGAGTACAAAAAGTACCTTTTCTTTTCACTCTCAGCAATTTCTGACCTAACAGTGGAATATGATTCCCACCTGTCTACCGAGGGTCTCTCCACTGCAGTTTGCTCAGCAACAGGAAAGCCTGCCCCCAAAATCACCTGGCTGCATGAAAGCGATCTGGATGAGTCCTCTGACGTACACCACGTCCAAAATGCAAACGGAACAGTAACGGTGACAAACAGGCTTACCTTCTCCGCCAACCACCTCCATGTCTTGGCCTGCTTTCTTGACCACCCACAAGGAAGGAAAACAAAGGTAGTTTCCCTGGAAAAAGGTAAGTTGTGTTTGTATGGAGAGGTGCAGCATGCAGTGGGAAGGGCTTAGGAAAGGATGTGCAGTTGTGTGAGTGCAGCTTGTACTTACGTAGGCCTCACTAGACATTTTTCTGAGAGTTCAGACCTCATGCTAGATGAATATTCCAAAACTTGAAATCATTCAGAAGACTTCTCCCTGTGGTACTTTTATGCAATGGGTGTGTGCATATATGCATCTATCTAATAAATATGTACATTTGTGTGTATATATGTATAGATATATATATGCATGTTTATTTTTCTACATAATCACTGATTTAGAGCAGATGTGATCAGCTCTTCAGCAGTATTTACAGGTGAAGAGTACCAGCAGAGCAGGCCTCTGGCTGTCAAATGCTGGGGAACAACATCTCACATGGAAGGTCTTGCAGGAGGGTATGTCTCAAGAAGGATGGGTGACTTCCTGCAAGATAAAACTTCATACAGAGAGAGAAACACCAACAGATCAGGAGTAAAAATGCTAAGTTTTGTTTCCCCCAGTACTTGGGAAATGTGAGACATGATTGATATTTATTTAAGAACTACGTTGTTACATTGTTCCTTTCCCTTCTTCAAAGAATAAACAAACACAAACAATTAAATGTTTCCCTTCAGTCCCAGTCTCTGGAAGCAGACACAAAACACATGTTGACATTCCTCTGTTTTGTGTGAACTCCTTGGTTTCTTGTAGGTGTTCAGAAGAGCATAATCATCACGGCAGTCTTAATAGCTGTGGCATTCTTAACAATCTTGATACATTGCATTGTGATACTAATCAACAAAAAGTAAGAATAACATCCTTTTTCTTGCAAATGATACGGCTTGCCTGTGTTCATCTTGCAATTTACCTTTCTGTTCCCTGATAGTGTTTTAGTATACCTGCCCTGGAAACTTATCCAAGTGGTAAAAGCACCTTTAAAATAGCAAAATTCACTCTAAATGCCAGGTAGTTTCTAAGCAGTATGTGAGTAGTTAATGGTTGTTTTTTTTCAGACTGAAAAGACATAGTGTACCCAAAACACCTGCAAAGGAGAAAGGTCTTGGTGTAAACCCAAGTGAGAAAGCCATAAGCCTACACATGCTGAAGGATCAGCATGATTATCAAAATGAGGTAATGCAAATGCCTAATGCATCCATTAATTATTCGATTATTCAAAAGCCTTGGCAACACTTATCAGGATTGTGACAAAACTCTTCCATTAAGAACTGGTGTCCACTCCTGCTGCCATGTCTTTGCTGCATGGGACTGGGTAGGTGACATCATATATGCCCCATCTAACCTCTGTCAGTGCTGGGGAAGGCCCAGAGCATGAAGGAGAAAAGTTAGTCAGGGGTTAGGTGGAAAGGCATGGAAGAGGTACCAAAAATGCCCAAAAAGGGCAGATGGGACATCCCTTCTGGACAAAGGTGAGGAAGCGCTGCAAAGCTCAGGCACTAACCAGTAGCCTCCCCAGAAAACGTCTGCCCTGCCCTGCCCTGCCCTGATGGTCATGCTGGCATCAAGGTGCTCTGGAGGGCTGGTGGCATCCACAGACAAAACCAGGAATTGACCATAGCTGGGAGTCACCGGCACTAGCCACTTCCCTCTGACTTCCCACAGCTTCCCTGTTTTCCATGCAAGCTCTTGCTAGTACAGTGCTATTAATGGGAGGATTCTTCTTCCCTTCTCTCTGCCAGATAATGCAGAGCTTTATCATGGTTACCACATGACTGTGCTGGGTCTTTTTCAGGAGCAGACACCAGGCTCTTCACGTCGTAGAAGGCTACCAGGTCAAAAGAGAAACCTGAGAGAGAAAAAAAATTGCAGGCGTTTGTTTTCAGAGGAAGCGGAGAGCAATGTCCACAGTGTGTTTGAGGGGGAATCCGTTGGGTTATTCATCAGGGAGCTTGGCTGCATGCCCATGAAGGAGATCAGAGAGGCAAAGGCAGGTGGGAGAGTCCAAATACCACCCCACCCCTGCTGCTCCCCAGCAGAGGAAGGAGAGATAGCAGCCCAGTACAGTGCACTTCCACAGGCCCAGAGGAGCACAGGGGCCCAAGGGCAGGTGAGATGACCAAAGTAAGGACTTGGGGGAAGGAACACCTTACCCCATCCCCTCCCAGGGATGTCCCAGAAGATTTTCAGCTCTGGGGTCTGGGTGTGAAACCCATTCAGATGAGTCACCAGTGGAACACTTTTTGGACTGAGGTGGGTCACTGCCTAAAAGGTATGGACACATAATTACATACAAGAGAAGAGCATCTTAAGATTGCAGAGGACTTATTATGGGATGCTTAGGACATCAACCAAAGATGAAAATGGAGGAATCAAGGGGATCTGGGGCTTAAAAATACTGGGAAAATGGAGGGATAAGGGGATAAAAGGGTCTGGGTGCAGGTATGCAGGAGGTTGGTCAGTATGCCTGTCCGGCTGTGCCCAGCAGCTGGCCACAATGTTCTGTCCTATTTTCTTTTTAAACTCCATTTCTAAGTCATTCCTGGGTGAGGGACTCCCTAGCCAGTGTGCATATTTATAGGGGGGCTGATGCCAGCATCTCAGCCAGGACCATGGACCTGTGGGTGCATGTGCTGGGGTGCCAGTGACTGGGGAGACCCGAGTGAGAGAAACCAAGTGTCAGCCACCAGCAGATCAGGGTCAGAGCCTGTGTGTCTCTGATGCAACACCTGGAGTGAGCACAGGTGAGCATGTGAGCATCAGCAAGGATCAAGCTTTCCCAGGACACCCTTTGACATTTCACAAGTAATTAGGCAGGAGGATCTGTGTTGTGGATGCAGCAAGAGCTATGGAACTATAACAAGATCAGTATTTCTGAAAAAATTATGGTTTTAAGGGCTCAAGCGGGAAAGCTTTCCCCTCCAGCTCTCAGTATCATTATGTGATGCGTGATGAGAAACGTCCTTCCAGCTTATTTGCAAAGGCTCTTCTAACAACTTGTGTCACCGTGCAGCCTCAGTGCAAAGCCCTGTCTTTTATAATAGCAGAGTACCCTCTAGTGGGAGAGGTCACAAATGAAAGTGAAAACACCTCCAGTGAGCCTTCCATTAAAATAAGAACTAAGCAGTCTTATTTTTTTGTCTCTTTGGACTTTAAAATAATCTTTGGATGTCCAGCAACCCTATCCCAGATATCAAGAAATTACAACCACTGTATCTGAATATATTCAGGAACAACATGACAAAAATGACCTTATGAGGGTTGTCCTGTGGTGGCCACTGACTGTGGTTGCTGGAAGAGAAGATATTGAAAGGGACTGACAGAAGGAACTGGGCATTTGGTATCAGTCTTTCCTTGCTCTGCTGGAGAAAGTGTTCTTGCAAAGGACCAGGGAAGAAAAGATAGAAGTGTTCCCAAGCCTGTTCTCCAAGCGGCCAGACTGGTCTGCGGTGGATAAAAGATGTGCTAGAGGAGAAGTGGGAAGGACAGATATTTGGTAGTACCTGGAGAGGTATTTAGGCTGCCCAGCTCCTCTCTGCTATGTTCTGCCCAGTGATGCCACCTGAGAGAGATGGATTTTCTGCCACTGGGCTTCTTGGCCAACAATCTTTAGAAAACAATATTGGGCTTCTTGGTGAAGGGATCTTCAGAAGTTAATCTTGAGTGATGTTTTAACCAAGAGTTGTTCAGCATTTAAAAGACCACTGTTCCTTGCATTCTGGAAATCATGTGCTGATTCAGCTTGCCTTTAAGTTTGCCATGCCACATGCATGTAGGTTACAATGGGGGACTTCATCTTGGCATTCTTTGAATGAGAGTTTTCTGAGATTAAATGCTGGTTAATTATTTTTTGTGTAGAGAAATTATCTGTGTTTTTTTCCCTGGTAGTCAAGGACACATATGTGATCTTCAGTTGTGGGTATGATTGGAAACCATCAATATATATGTATAAACACAACAATAAAAGGCAAGTGAGATTACTGCATTTCTAAGATAACTTTTTTCCAGCAAATGGAAATTGTAAAGAGAAATGTGTAACTCCAGCTTAGTTCAGAACCTGATGAAGGAGGAGGAGAGGAATGGCCTCAATGCCGTACTTCTGGCAGTGAGTACATGATTTATCCTTGGTGCAAAATGTAGTTTTTCTGAGAGTAAATATTTAGCTTTAGTGATCCAAAAGGAAAAATGAATTATAGAACCATAGAATGTTTGGGTTGGAAGGGACCTCCAAAGCTCATCTAGTCCAATCCTCCCGCCACAAGCAGGGACATCTCCAACTCGATCAAGCTACTCAGAGCCTCATCAAGCCTGACCTTGAACGTTTCCAGAGGTGGGGCTTCCCTAGGCAACCAGGGAGTTTCCAGTGGTCTATCACCCTCGTATTGAAGAACTTTTTCCTAACGTCTAACCTAAATCTCCCCTTTTCTAGCTTAAAGCCATTACTCCTTGTCCTGTCACTACAAACCCTTGTGAATAGTCCCTCCCCTGCTTTCTTGTAGGCCCCTCTCAGGTACTGGAAGGTTGTTATCAGGTCTCCCCAGAGCCTCCTCTTCTCCAGGCTGAACAGCCCCAACTCCCTCAGCCTGTCCTCACAGGAGAGCTGCTCCAGCCCTCTGGTAATTTTTGTGTCTCTCCGCTGGACATGTTCCAACAAGTCCACATCCTTCCTGTGCTGGGGGCTCCAGAGCTGGACACAGGACTCCAGGTGAGGTCTCACCAGGGCAGAGTAGAGCAGCAGGATCACCTCTCTCCATCTGCTGGCCATGCTTCTTTTGATGCAGCCCAGGATTTGATTTGCCTTCTGGGCTGCTGCTGCCCATTGGTGGCTCATGTCTAGCTTCTCATTTACTAGTACCCTCAAGTCTTTTTCCAATGGACTATCTCTAGCATGTCCACTCCCTACCTGTATTGGTAATGCTGGTTGCTCTGGCCCAGGTGGAGGACCCTGCACTTGGTCTTGTTGAACCTCATGAGGCCTTTCCAGCCTGTCCAGGTTCCTCTGGATGGCCTCCCATCCCTATGGCATATCAACTGCACCACCCAGCTTAGTATCTTGCTGAGGGTACACTCGATGCCACTATGTCACTGACGAAGATGTTAAACAACACTGGTCCCAGTACAAACCCCTGAGGGACACCACTTGTCATTTTTGCCCAGCTAGACATCAAGCCATTGACCACAGCTCTCTGGGTGTGACCATTCAGCCAGTTTCTTATCCACTGAACAGTCCACCCATCGAATCTACATCTCGCCAGCTTAGAAAGGAGGATGCTATGGGGGATGGTGTCAAAGGCCTTAGCAAAGTCAAGACAGATGATGTCCACAGCTCTTCCCTTGTCCACTAATGCAGTTGCTTCATTATAGAAAGCCACCAGATTGGTCAAGCAAGACTTGCCCCTGGTAAAGCTGTGAAAATATGATTAAATGCATATTAAAGAAAATATAATATAAATTAACACAAAAGATCCAGAAAACAAATAGGCAGAAGAAGTCTCAATTTTTCCAGAATGTCTCGCTTGAGGGTGCTTTTAAAATAGTCCAGTACTGGATTTTTATAGGGCAGATGACCTGCTTTTCACTACTTTTCAGGTAGGAGTTTAGAAGTGCTCTTCATTTCTTCCTGATGAAATGGAGTTAATTGTTTCTTTCCATCCTAGTAATTTTGTTGTTTCCTTTCAGAAGGAAAAAACATTACCAGTTTTAGAAGCATAACAAAACAAAAAGCTGAGACCAAAGCTGTCCCAAAGCCAGCCTCACTAACAAGACCCAGATAGCATGCCCAGGCTTGTTTTCCTTTTAGGCTGCCTGTCCGAAGAGCTGAAGAAGGCTGTCTGGGATGGCAGAAATGAATAGAAAAAAAATTGTAATGACTGTCTTGCCTTTCTTTTATGAAATATCCTTCTTTCCTGCCTATCAAACTGAATTTTTCCAGTGAGTTATCCCTAGGAAACTAGGATTTTCATTGTCGGGGGTGCAAGCATATTTGTTAGGCTGTGTGATATTCAGCACACTTCTGAGAGGGTCTGTACAACCACTCATATCCACAGCCCCTGGCCACCAGGATGCTCAGCCTCCAAGGAAAAGGCACAAAAATGAAGGTCAGCGAGAGAGACGTGAAGTCATCGACACAAGAACAGCAGGTTTCACTGGAAAATGAGAGAAAGGAATAGAATGTGAACTTATTCTATATACCTTAGAAGTACCGAAGGTGTACAGCTGCACGATGCCCAGTAATCCCCACTCCTCTGAAGCCCATCTAATGCCACACCTCCTTTTACAGCAAAGTTTAAAGGCAGGTGTCTTTCACTTTGCACAGCTATTCTAGAGGTGGAAAGCAAGACAAAATGTAGGATGTATCCAGCCTTTCCTTGCCATGCAAAGAGGCCTCAGAACTTTTGTGTGTTTTTATCCCCACCCACATGGTTAACTTTCTGTTCTGGGGAACACGGTGAAGTTTGCACTGGAGAAATGGGCAGGATCACAGAAGTATGGCTGAGAGAGCAAAAAGATGTATTTTGGCCATGGTCACATGGTTGAATCACTAGCAAAATGACAGCTGGTGGTGGATTCTCTGGATCAGGCTGGAACTCCTAGTAGACTTATTTGAATGTTCGCAACTTGAGGAAGCATTGCTGGAATGTGATGGTTAAGGAGGGTATGTTACTTTGTATGAGCAGAGCCACAGGAGTTGAATCAGCAGAGCCTCCAGCAGGCAACATGCCTTGAACTTGGTTTTGTTTTACTGAAATCTGTGTCACTGACTGCAGCCATCTTCTAACTCCTTTTTTTTTTTTTTTCCCCCCTTTCTTTCACTGTTTAATGGCAATTTGCATCAGTTGTGTCATAGTCTTTCCTTAAACTTCTACAAATGTCACTGGCTACTGGCTCAAATGGTTCTGCTTAAAAGAAGTCACTAGCTCAGCAATAACAAGAAGAACTAAGTAATATGTTAACAGCCGTGTGTGTCCACCCAGAAGGCAGAGGAAAGAATAAA